CGATTTTAAATTTTTTCAGTTCATAATCCTTACCGTGGCTGCCTTGTCTAGCGGAGCTAAGCTGGACAAAACGTACCTGCCTCCTTCATCAGCCCAAGCTGCTGGTGGAGACTTTTTGGATACCCCGAATTTCGGTTCTGGTGATACCTTCATTCCCAATGGCCAAGACGTCAACAGATACAACTATGAAGGCAACTTCGAGTATCGCCCGGAGAGAACACAGGCAGCTTTTGAAAGAAACGCAGCGATCCTCCGCCAAGACAATGTGAACAATGGTGATTCCTACTCATTTGCATTCGAAACAGAGAATGGCATTGCAGCTGAAGAGAGCGGTGTAGCGACAAATGGTGTAGAGGCTCAAGGCGGCTTTTCCTATATTGGTGATGATGGAAAGCAGTATAGTATTAGGTTAGTAATTCCTTGTTATGCATTTGAAAAAAATATATTTTTAAATTCGTTTTCATATATCAGTTATAAGTTAACCACGGTGAAGATATTTCTAATTGGAAAAGAGCAATACACTAATATTTAGAAAATAAATAAAAGCTTTTATTCCTTCAGAATTACACTAATTATCTACGCAACAATGGTACAAAATAATTTTTCAGATGTTCACAGAATTTACATTTATACTTATTTCAGTTTTATAGAGAAAACTATACTGCCATTATTTTCTTCAAAACTAAACAAATAAATCTTCTTATTACAGATATACCGCTGACCAAAACGGTTTCCAACCACAAGGTGATCATCTCCCCACGCCCCCACCCATTCCAGAAGAAATCCTTAAGGCTCTAGAACAAAACGCAAGGGATGAAGCCGCGGGAATTTTTGATGATGGTAAATACTTTATTTTAATAGCAATAAACTTGCAACATCTATGGAAAAGCTTCAAATTATTGGCTCTATTGGAAATAACTTCCGATTTTTCCATATTGGTTCAGCGGGTTCCAGTGTATTTATATTAGGGAGCGTTCAAGTATTACGTCACGCATGTTTTGGAGATTATTGAAAACCCCCCCATGTAACGCGCCGTAACGTTTTCTGTACCCAATATTAAATACTCTTGCCTCTTTATAACTAAAACTTACCATTTTGTGATGTAAAGTACTGGAAAGTCTAAAATAATATTAACAATAACGCGTAATTCAATCCCCGCCCAGCATCGTAACGTTTTACAAATAAAACTTCGTTACGTAATACTTGAACGCTCCCTTACAACTTAGGCATGTAAGTGTATTAAAGCGAAATTTTACAGGCTCTTACAACGAGGCTAAATATGAAAGCAACAACTACAAAGAGAACTACGGTAACTATGAAAACAGATACACCGTTGATCCATCCAACGCCCAAACAGACGATGACTCCATCATCACCGATTCCGCAGCCTTCAGAAACCCTAACTATTATCAACCATCAAGAATTCCCTCGGTGACCAAAGCTTATTTACCTCCAAGATATTGATTTAGACTGATGCTTTCGACGGACTTAGATTTAATAAATTATAGGAGAAAATTGTTCTTTTACTATACCTACTCCCGACTACACTACTACGTAACAAATGCTAATAAATAAAAACGCTCATGGCCATTTAAAATATGCATTATTAGCCAGGTTTGTCTATGAATATTGAAGCGTATATATGAAATGACTTACTAGCTTTTTATTAATAAAAAATAAATCAGAATAATTGCACCGTTTTACCTGCAGTATATTAATGACGAGTTTTATTACAGTGTAAACACAATTAGTTAATAAGACTAAAGATATATACAACTTTTTTAGATCTGGGCCTCAGATTTGTATACCTGTTTAATGATATTTATCAATCTACGTATAATACGCAAGTAGGTGATGAGCGTCCTGTGCCTGACACATGCCGTTGACTTTTTGGGTCTAAGGCAAGCCGATGACTTCACGATGTTTTCCTTCACCGTTCGAGCGAAATGCGCACATAGAAAGAAAGTCCATTGGTGCACAGCCGGGAAACGAACCTACGACATTAGGGATGACCGTCGCACGCTGAAGCCACTAGACCAACACTGCTCAGTCTGTATAAATAGGAATTTATTATTATTATTATTTTGTACGAAATGTATTTCCTATCTAGAAATTAAGGAATTCCTTCCTAAAACTAAATATATACTGTAAAGTTTTTATAAATAGAGATTTAAGTATATTAATATTTTAGTAGTATGTAGTAATATCTTAACAAGAGTCTCACTTTCACAATATTTCATGACGATGCAGATTTTTAAATTTAGAACATTAATGTCTTCAAATCTAGATAGAGAAAAGGTTGAACGTCTTCAAGTTATTATAACAATTTGATCTGATCTAGATAAAATTTCATACTACATTGATTTTTACATTCAGTCTTGCAAGATCTCTACCAGAGATCGTACATCGTAATCGTCGTACAGACATTGTTTCTTTTTCACGAACAAAAAAAGAAGCGAAGTGAAGAAATATACTCTATATTTTATAACTTTTAAAAGCTTGGCGTATCTTTTACTTTAGTGTAAAAATTGTGAAACCACCTTTTCACCATTTTCTCTTACACTACTTATTTAAAAATAATTGTTTTAGTATGGAAAAGTGCCTAAGTTGATACTTCTAAACATAATATTTTGATAATATTATGGGTAGTATAATATTTTATACTATGAATAGTAAAATTAACGATGTTTCTGAGCTAAACTAGTTACCAATGATATGCTAAACAATAAATAAAAACTAAAAATGGTCTTAACACCAACTCTTTAATCAGTCTTAAAATTGTTTTACAGTTAAAAATATTTCTCTTCTAAGGGTAATACAGTATGTATTCTTAGTTATTTAAATTAAATGGGTTTCAAAATGTGTATATAATATTTGTATGAAATATTTTAGAATTTTTTATATCATTCAAGAATCCTTGTCATACCTGTCAACTACCGATCAGTTACTTAGTTAACTCATAGTCACATCTAAAAATCAATGGCACTACAACCTCTTTAGGTCTGGGCCTTAGATTTCTAAATCTATTTAATGATCATTTTTCAATTTAATAGGCAAGTAGGCCTTCTGTGCCTGACACACGCCGTTGACTTTTTGGGTCTAAGGCAAGCCGGTTTCCTCACGATGTTTTCCTTCACCGTTCGAGCGAATATTAAAAGCGCACATAGAAAGAAAGTCCATTGGTCCAGCCGGGGATCGAACTTACGACCTCAGGGATGAGAGTCGCACGCTGAAGCCACTAGGCCAACACTGCTCATAGTCACATCTAACGAAATTTATTTACTACCAAGTACCATTGGTGACGTTCTAATACAATATTATCATTGGTAAATCATGATTTTATACATATATAGAACGAAATGTTGCTAGTTGCAAGCAGATGATCATAGCGGTGTCGGTTTTAATTAATTCATGGTCAGGACAGGACAATTCAATTGACAGACTAAAGATTTTCATGACAGGCGCTAAGATGATAGTAAAAGTAGCTTTAAGTATAACAGGAATTCTGTAAGCTGGGCGTGTAATAGAAAATAAATATGTACTTTTCATTATTAAATTGTCATTATACTTCTAGACATTACCACTACATTACACGCAGTACACGCCCTTAGAAGCCTTCACGCTTAATTTGTAAATGATGAGACCGTGCATTGACGTTAATTATATCGATATTGATTACAAAACTTGCCCGAGTCAAAGATCAGGCCAAATTATAATGGAGACAATGGTCGGACGATTAGATTTCGTGTCTATTTTGACCTTTCGCAAATAAATGCTCTGAATGGTAAATATTGGTTATATCTATGTCCTTGCTTCAGATAAGGGGTCACGACTTATGGATGAGGATCAAATGATTGATGGTCCTAGAAAATTTTGTATAGTACGCCACCGTTGGATAGCTAATTGGAAAAAATATAGTGAAACCGCTTTCCGATATATGCTATGTTGCGGTCTCTCTATAAATTTCCAATTACTGGTTGTGCATTAAGAAATATGTCTATATCATATTAATAGACCAAATCAAATTATAGACCTAAAATATATGGACAAAATGTTGATTAAAGATGTGTAGTGGCTATATTATAGAATTGAAGAAATTTTCGAGTTTACCATTATTGCGACAGTTAAACTTTTAGTTTACGCTTAAAAGAACTATTGTACAGTAATCCATCGTTAGTACTATAACGCGGAGATTTTGTAAGGTATATTTCACTAGTGTGAAATTTATGATGATTTATCAAGTCCAGAATTAGTTTGGCGTACCTTTGTGCCTGTTTCAATTGTGTTATAAAAATTAAACTAATAAGTTTATTAAATTTGTGTTCCTAGTTTTGGAAGTTTATACATAGTTATTACATCTAACATACTTAAGTAATATTTTTAAATGTCCTAAATCATTTAAGTTATATAAAACTATTATAAAAAAATCTGTGGCGCTACAACCTCTCTTAGGTCTTGCCCTCAGATTTCTGAATATGTTTCATGATCATTTTTTAAATCTAATAGGCAAGTAGGTGATCAGCCTCCAGTGCCAGTCATACGCCGTCGACTTTTTGGGTCTAAGACATGTCGGTTTCCTCACGATGTGTTCCTTCACCGTTCGAGCAAATGTTAAATGCGCACATAGAAAGAAAGTCCATTGGTGCACAGCCGGGGTTCGAACCTACGACCTCAGGTATGAGAGTCGCACGCTGAAGCCACTAGGCCAACACTGCTCTATAAAATTATTATACTACAACTTAAATTTCAAATTTACTAATACTATATTACATTTTAGCCAATATGCCAAGGATCAATTATTACACGACTACGACAATGCGTTGATGAAATGTGAACGAAATCGTCTTCACATTAAACATTTGACAGCAACAATTAGACTTTTGTCACGTTGTCTGTCCGTCACGTCCAGTTTATAGCAATTAGATAAAGATACTATAAATATCAATTTTGGATGATACAAAGCACACATCAAATCTGGTGGCTGATCTTAAAACATCGCTATGAAGATATTTTTAGTAAGTACTCCTTAATCAATTATTGCTATTAACACTTTCTAAAATATTGATAACCTTTTACAATTCCAGGCTCTCTTGTTTCTAACCGAATCGGTGTTAGGCGACAAATTAAGTCGTGGTTATCTACCGCCTCCTGGTGCGCATTTGTCAGCGGGAGACCTTAACTACAGCGATCTTCCCCTAGAATTACCAAGTCATGAAGTTTATACGAAATATACAGACCTGAAAACTACTCCAGGACTTAAAGAAAAGGGAAATTACTTTATTGGACCTCAAGGCAGTGAACCTGTGTCCTTTGATATCGATTTTAATACACCAACAAGCTCAACACCTGCTTCAGCGACCACTACGAACTCAGTTTCAGAGTATATTTCTACTCCATCTACACAGGTGCCTACATTAACTGATTTTATTTATGACACCACGGAATCCAAATTTCCACAGATTATCCACCAATCACACAGAGTTCATGAACCCTTCAGCTATGGCGATGTTAATAAATCTAACAGTACAGGAGTAGCTATACCAGTTTCTGGAATCGAGGAGAAATATTCCTTCTCTCCAATGTCATCACTCTCCAACTTTGAACCAAACACAATGTTCGCAAACCAAATTTCTAACATGGACTATTATTATCCTACTATTAATTCAGGCAAAGAAGTTGAAATAGAAGGTGACCAGAAACAATATGACACATACTCACCTCGTCTATATGAACCCAATTTGTCGTCTGCCAGAAGGATGGAATCACAAAATAATGACAGAAACGCTATAATTACAGAGCAAAACAATAATTTGAAATCAGATGGATTTTCCTATAGCTTTGATACTTCTAATGGTATTAACACTGATGTTATTGGTACTGCTAAAGATGGTATAAAGACAAAAGGATCTTTCTCTTACACCGGTGATGATGGAAAAGTCTACAAGATGGAATATACTGCAGATGAAAATGGATTTCGACCAAGTGGTGCCCATTTACCTACGCCACCTCCTATTCCTAAAGAGATACAAAAAGTTATTGAACAAGCTTATATCAATAAAGCCGCCGGAATAGTCGATGACGGTAATATATTTTTTACAAATATTCAAAATTTTACGTGAGATAAGTGAAACTATAAAAATATTATTTTTCAGGATCCTACAATGAAGAAAAGTATGGATATAAGAATTATATGCCTCACAATGATAATAAAGCTACGAAACAAAATAAAGGGCTTCTTACGAAGAAAACGATAGTCGAACCTACGAATATTTTTGACGATAATTTAAATAACATTAACAGACCTAGGATAACTAGTAACGTGCCATTGAATAATAGAATAATTCCAGTGCAAGTAATCTATGATCAGGGCTACAGATATGATCGACCACAAAACAAATTACATTCACCTGAAGCTATTGGTAAAGAAACAGAAATTAACTCATCGCCAATACCTCAAATACGACTAGGTAGCATCAAATCTATGGATAATGTTAATGATGCAAATTCATATAATAATTCACCAAACAATGATACCAACAATTCTGAAAAACCAAATCTATTTGGACCAACAGATGAAGTGAGAATTTATGAAAATAATCAGCCTAACAAGAAATATAATTATGAAAGTGAAAATTATAAAAGTACAATTTTTCCAACAACGTATTATACGAACTTTAATCATTTAAATGGTGATCCTAGTTCGGTAACTGATTCCCAGGCTAAGATAATGACAAATCTTCCAACAACGGCCACACCAAATTTTTCTATAGAAAATGCAAGCACAGAACCATCATTTAAGTCAACATTCATGTCAGAGGACGACGAAGTGATATCGACCGGAAATCCAAAATGGGTAACTGCAGCCAGTCCTCGCACGCAAACCATGCCTGTTTACACTCAAACGCAGGTTCGAGGAGAAGATTTCAGCGGACCCAAACAATTACCAACATATAATCCTAAATATGGCTATTATTATTAAAATTGATACTAAAATATTGTTATTAAATGTTTACTGATACATCAATGATTTTTCATGCTCTAATATTCAAATCTATAATATTCTTATATTATCCCACACTCTTTATGTTTTACTCGGTGAATAAAACAAAATAATTTTACTTTCATTATAATTTAACTCCATCTAGTGAAGAACACGCAAACAAAACAAATGTATCAATACATTAGATTGGAAGAATATAAAGAGCCTTTTGTTAGTTCTCTGGATTGTAGAAGCTTTCATAGATGGCGCTGATTACAAATGTTGTTTTTTATTTATTGGGAACGTTCCTTAACTTTATTGTGGTAAATGCTTAATATATGAGATGCATTAAATCTTCCAAAATTACTAAAAAAAATGTATACTTATAAAATTAAACAGTTTAAGTAAAGGCAATAATACCGTTGAATTTTATTGGAATCTCGCACACAGCACATCATTAAAAAAGTCAAATAATTGTGATAAACTACATCTATAGATTTAAAGAAGAGAAATGCGATCAAATTAGTTAAACGCGCTGTGAACCAATAGATTATAGAACATGGGTCAAACGGGCAGGAGGCTCACCTGATGTTAAGTAATACTGCCGCCCATGGACACTCAGTGCCAGAGAGCTTGCGATTGCATTGCCAGCCTTTTAGTAATTGGTACGATCTTCGAAGGAACCTTAGTCGAATTGGTTCGCAAATACTTCAGTGGGCAGCTGGTTCAACATAGTAGTGGTGCGCGGAAAAAACTACCTTAAAAAACGGTTAGCTGTGGAACAACGGACGTGGGTGATACCGGTGGAATTTCGTATTCTGCCTGAACGTCCGATGATGAAACTGTAGGTATTAATCCGAACAACTCCTCTGAACACTCTCCTTGGTAAATGCAGAAGACACAGAATGACCCCACATCTCTACGCAACGCCAAGGAATCAAGCCGCTCAGAGAGGGATTGGTCTTCGACGAGTAATGTGCGAAAATATTTCTTGATATTGTCATGTTTTAATCGAATTCCATAATAAACATATTTATAATAAACATATTTTTATTGAAGTATGTTTGTTGAACTATGTTGAAATGTATCTACACCATGCCCAATAAGGGCTAACGGGACATCATACAATATATTTATCATCATTTTAGAAGCCTTTGTTTTAGGTTCATCATTTTATTTAGATATATCAGATAGCCTTCATGACACTTATTGCAAGAACCCATTGTTCAAGCTCTAGATATTGATAACTTGAAATGTCAAATATAAGTGTTAAATTAACCTGTTGTTTCTGTAGTCAGTTCGTTTGTTGGAGAATTTTATACGCATTTTATCTATAATTTTCTTTATATTAAATAGCTTGATACAATTTTTGCTGCGCTGAAAGTGAGGACTGCGCCTATACTCTGTAATTGCCAACAGCGAGATTCCGAAACCGGTGTTTTTGTATGCATTTCTGATGTTCTCTGAAAATCCGTTACGAAACTTAGTGCAAAAATTCATTATTGTAGCTGGGACTGGACTACACACGCGTTAACCATAATAGTTATGTTGTTTGTTATAAAACCAAATCGAAAGCGGGACGCTATCCATGCCACGACAGCCATTTTTTTACTACTCACGAAGCACCTTCTACATTGATACTAATCTCTTTAACGCACAACAGACCAAATGTGTGTCTATGTGCGAAATCTTAGACCACACTACATATTGGATATTGGATTTATCGGCTCAATCAAAATACCTTTGTATATAACAAAGATGTGGTGTGATGTTCTTCTACGTTGAATTGCCAGTAACTTGTCCTTAAGGCGTTACTTTGTAAGGTCAAGTATCGTGTTGAGAAATTTTTATATCGGTAACAATACCGTTTATGAAACTATAAAGCCTTGGTATTTCCTTAAATAAACTTTGATTATAACTCTTAATAGAACTAGAATTGACTTAGGGTCCTTCAAGAAAAGAGCATACCAATTCTTAAAATGCCGGCAACGCACTCGCGAGCCTCCTGCCCGTTTGCCAAAATAAATACATATAATGGGTAAATATTATTTTTCAATTTTTAGATTTCTCTAGCTATAAAATCATATTTATCCTTAAGCCTAAAGCAGTAGCAACTATTCGTGTTTATAAAATCCAATACATAAGAAAAACATATTTTCTATCTTCACCCACAAAATGTTTGTACACCGTATGACCAAATTGCTCACGAATTTAGAATCGGATAATTCCTAAATAATGACCTTTATTAGCAAAGGACATGTTTGCAAATCCTTATCGGTAATTATTTCATATAAACTCTTTTGTAGCGTAAACAAGAATAGAAAATTTTTGCAACAATCGCCGTGCAAAAGAGAAAAATACTGGAAAACCTCTTAAAAATTACAAGGGTAAATACCTAAAATTAAATATTCTGTACTAATGTCCAAGTACTTCACGCTAATTTCTGAAAAATCGTATTTAAATTATTGTCAGCTGATGAAATACAACATTGTATCGTCTGCGGTTTAATACCAAAAGCGAGTAGAGATGTCTTCATTAATAAATCATGAGACTACTTATTAGGCGATGTGAGCCAGTTTCACACTAAGTAAGTATTCCTCTACCTGTTCATCTCGAAGGCTATGCGCTGACTATGAAGCCTTCTTACCAAAGAGGGTCTGAGGAAACATTTTAGACTTTGACTTTATTTAGAAGTTAGCAGTAGTAACAATTTATTTTTCTATAAAATATTAAGTTGTTGTTTGTTTAATGTTAAATTTCAGTTTACTTTTTTATCGACTTATGTTTTTGTTTCGTATATTTTGTGTAACAATGTAATCTGTTTTGGCTATGTATATTATCTGAGTTTTCTTATTTATAATATATATAACTGTACGAATACAAATAAATAAATATAACTTTCAATAAAATATTATTTAACTTTGTAGCGTGGTAGCTACACTATATCTATTACCCATTTATAAAGATGTTTACTCCATTTTTCCAAATTAAAATACACCTATATTACATTTATAAAAAATTTACTCCGAAGCATCAGAAGGCATAAAACAATTATTGTTTCCGGAAATCAAACCTAACGCCGTTCAACAGTTGCAACAACAAGGTCTAACCTAGTTTAAATTTAAATTGCAACAAGGTCTAACCTAGTTTAAATTTAAATTGCAACAAGGTCTAACCTAGTTTAAATTTAAATTCATCAATATGTATTTGCTTAGGAAACTTGACACATTTGTTGGAAAAAAGCATGGATAAATCTAAAGCAATCTTGCGCCTAGATACATCTAAGCAAAAAGATTAATTTTGTTAATAACAAAATCGCGTAAGACTATATATAATAAAATTTTATGTTCAATCCTTCATATACTATATTATCTTTGGCTTACACAAGTACTACAAATTTAAATTAAACTTTAACGGATATAATTTATTACATTATTAAAATAAATCATCGTTTCTAGCGCTTTTTGGCTATCGTCAGCGAGAGCCTTTGTTGTTCACTGTCGGAATGAATATTAAATAATGTAAACTATGTATAAATAAATTTATACTCACGTACTTTTTACTGTAGTTAAAACATTGTACTTCTATTTGTCCGAATAAAGCTTATTTTAAATTAGAATATTCTTAATCAAAATAATGATAAATGAAAATGCAATTTTCTCAAAGTAGTATCAGCAAGGAAATTAATATTTTGATTCACTTTTTTCTGCTATAATTTTGAGGTAATACAATTATTTCTATCTTCCTCTGAGAGCAATAGGTTATTTTCCTTCCTAAAAAAGAACTGGCTTATGGTGTGTATGTGAGGGTGTGTATGTGGGGTGTGCTCATGATGCAGGTGATTTAGCGCTATGGATATTCTTAATACTCCTTTTAACCATATTCCGCGATAGCTTAAACAAGTCAAGGCTTAAATATTGGTCGTTTTCTTTATATATTATACATATATTTCGATAAATTCCTATAAGCGAGAGTGTTTAAGAATACTTTAGCGTGTAGTTAAAACATTTCCTTGTCACACACGCAGTCACAGGGATACAATCACTCTCACAATTTTCTATCAAATTCAAATTCAAAAATCATTTATTCACGTAGGTAACACAATGTACACTTGTGATTCGTCATTAAAGAAATAAATATTAATGCTTCTAATTTTACATTTACTGCCAGTTCTCAAATCAAGGGCGTAGAACGGAAGAGAAGAACTGGCAATAAACTCTCCGCCACTCTTTTTAATCGCCATGTTTTTTACACAACGTTTGTAAGGAGCTGCAACCATTACACCATGTTCCACATGATATTTTAAGTAATTAATAATAATAACATAAATAAAAACAAAGACTTGTCCCCTATCAGCAGGAGGCATGGTGAAATAGGAGCACGCACTTACATTCTCGTGGGAACAACACGCAAACACATAGTCGAAATAATTAACATCACCGCATACACGAATTCAAGTACGACCAGTCACCACAAGTAGCACCCGTTCACGAGTATGACGCATGGCCAGCCATCGGCCTCATATAAACCCTACATTAATCGTTTTTCGTCAACGCCATCTAGTGAGCTAGTTGCGTAATAATTTAATACGAAATCAAAAAAGTTTTAGAAGTCATTTGCTGATAGTACATATAAGGCTCATGGGAAAGTGAGCTAAGCTAATTAAGTTCTACCTGCGGGCGAGCGCTAATGAAGGCATCTTGATAGATAATGCTTCATCTTAACTTCTTGCACCATAGTGTACTTAGCTATTTGAAATAGACGATTTAGTTAGGTAAATGGTTTGACGTGAGAGGCTCTTGAATGTCGGAGGCATAAAACATTAAGAATTTTTGATCTGTATGAGGTCATCATGTTCTACGTTTCTGTAGTATTTTTAACGGATTTGGGCTATTTAATTATATCTTAATAAAAAAAATAAATGATAAATTTTGGGTCTTCTATACTTTTCAAAGCAAATTTTTTACAAGTGGCGCCACAACTTTTTAAGGTTTTTGTAT